CCTTTTGACTAGTTGGCTCAGATTAAAAATAAAATAAAAAATAGACTTCTTATAAGAGAATGCACTTGTAGTGTTTTAACTAATATTTTGACTTGCACAGGTAGAGGGTTGTTTTCACGAATGTTTCCATTCAAAGCCAAAATGCATTTTGAAACTACTCCAAGAATTTAGTTTCTATCAGAGGCTACAGAAATCTGCCCTCTTCTTGCACCATTTCCTCCCCACCCTCTCGCCCACAAAAGAACATCCAATACGGGCCAAGCTATCCAACAGCAGCTAATGGATGGCCCTTGAGTGTCCCATTTGAGATCCCAGCAGTCTTGGCTCTGAGCTGGAGATAAAAAGCCAGCTGTTTGTTGATTTTAAGTGAATTCCTCCAGTTAGTCTCACTACAGAGAAGGTGAAGTCAGAGATGGTCTGATACATTCAAGATTTATCTTAGGAGCTGTGGGATGAAGTCATGAGAGTCGCAGTTTTCCATCCACATCCCAAAACCCACGTGCAAGTGCTTGGTCAGCCAGTGTGGCTCCAGCTACAGTGTTGGACTACAGGACTGCTGCCTTGTAAACGCCAATTGTAAGTTTTAATGAGACAAACCAATTAGATGGCTTGACAGACCATCACAACAGTGACGCAACCGCGCTCAGCCCCCATTGCAGGAGCAGCAGAATTTCAAAGAACTGCTTTAAAGAAAAGTCACAGAATAGCTCGCACACAGCCCTGCAAACAACAACATCACCCACAGGCTGTGGAGCAAGGGGAAGGGTGCTGAGAGTAAAGCAGAAACAAGCGAAAAGGATGAATTCAAATACTGATTTTTCCCTTTCTAACACTCAGCATGGGCACAGCTTGGGTTTCAGGTGCCATCTATGAAATATGACTGCTGTATATAACTCCCACTGTATTATTGGTCCAACAGAGCCTACAGAGAGGTATAGCATGGCCTTTGCAAAAATGCACATATATAAAATCACTTGTGCCAGGCAGTGCGTTACATTGTCCTACAGATACCACCTGATACACAGGGCTGTATTCACTGATCCACCTACACCCACAAGGCATTTCCTTCCTGAAAGCCAGAGGAAATTTTTATCAGTCCACGCCCTGACTTTCAGGTGTGATCCATGCAGAGGATTTTGGGTATGGATTTTGGAATTTTGTGTCTTCATCCTCCCTCGGGTAGCAGTTCATACATCACCTGCTGTCCCTCCTGGTTTGAGCTAGGGGTCTGGCCATCCCCACAGCTTGCTACAGGCAAGGTCTCACTTGTTTCAGCATGTTGAGCACAACACCTTAAATGTCACTAGGACACAATCAAATCCATGGAGTGTTTGGGTGATGCTCCCAAGATAAAATTTCCTTTGCAGAGTGTTCATTGAGTGGTTCTCAGTGGTTACAATCCTCTTCTGCTGACGCTGAAAGAGACATCAGAGGAGGTCCCACAGGCATGGTAAAGTCCTGCTTGTAAAACCAGAGAGCATTTTACAAATCACTTCTTTCCAAATGAGCCACTTTGCCTTATTTTTAAATATGTGTTGAGGAGGATCCAAGACTAACAGAGTAATGAAAGTTGCTAGCTCCAGAATTCACTGTGGCTTGTCAAAGTTACTTCCCCCAAATTAAAGGCCCATAAACACACCCCTCTTGGACTGCATGACACACAGATCATAAAAGCAAATCTCAAGACCTGAGCTGGTGCTGAGAGAACACTGTGTTCCTGTTACTCATGAGAGTGAAGGGGACCCCTGTGATGCTGTTGTACACTGAGAGGATCGAGGGGCAGGGGCACATGTGACTGTGTGGAACATCTGTTCTGCCCCATATATGCTGTCCAAGTCTCTCTTCTCAGCCTACTGCTAGTCCTTATTCAAAGAGATATTACACAGAGCCATCTCTCTGACTGAGGCCTGTCACAGTAAGCTGTTGGTGGGAAGCATCCACCAAGGACTGAGGCACCAAGCTGTGGTTTCTGTCTCAGATCCGGTAACCATAACATAGCAGGAGCTGCAACGCAGGCCACCACAGGCTGAAAACTCTCTGCCTGCTTTTCATGTTAGTATAAATCACTTGACACCATGTGAAGTACCTCTGCCAGCTCTTGACAGCCTCTCAGTAAGATCCAACAGACCACAACATGTCAGAGTGGGAATTTTGCCTTAACAAGTCCAAACTGAGCTACCCCAACCCTTGTGAGCAAAGAGCAATATTTAGCGTGTCTATATTTGTTTCTGTGGGGTAAAATATTCTGTTAAGCAGCAGGTCATTAACACATAACCAGGTAGTTTTCAATAAATTGGTACCCAGCTACCACGGCAGTAAATGACAACCCAGTGCCTGGTAGCATCACTGAAGCCAAAGGATGTGCCATTCCTGGCCACCACAGAGTCATAGCTCTGGAGATTCTGATGTGCACAGCAATAAATGATGTCCTTCAGAGAGAGGGAAACGAGGCAGAGCAACTTGGCACAGAGTAGAAAAGCTGTTATGCAGACAGCAAGCTCACTGTAGGTGCAAAAGGTTGGCAGGGTGGGAGATGCACATCCTGGAGCTGCTCTCATGGCCTTTGTCCCAGCCCCAGAGAAAGGGGTGTTCCTTGTGAGTGCATCCTCCATGCACACACGTGCATCACAGACAGCAGTGAGGAGCTGCTGGCACAGGGATGTGCTGGGCAGCACGCACAATGACTGCTTTCCAGGGATGGGGGCTTAACGAGGGGAGACAGCTGAGTGCTGCACAACAACTGCCTCCTTCTCCACACTCCGTCCAGAGCACCAGAGCCGGTGACAGGTCAGACCTCTGCGGGCTTATGTCAAGGGTTAAACAAAAGCCAAGCTGCTGTCAGCAGCAAAGTGAGCCTGCAACTGTATGCCAAAGCGTGGATGCAGATCTGCAGCATGCTTCTCTTGCAGAGCACCCTGACACACTTCTCAAGAGGCAGAAAATCAAGTCAAAACCAAAATAAACCAAAAAAAGCGAGGTAGAAGAAAAGTATTACATGTGGCTTACAGGGCCATTACCTGCAAGATGGAAGTGACTTCATGGTTAGTCCAGTCACTGAAACTTGAGCAGTGGACAGCAATGCCATTTAGGAAGAGCAGAGCAAAACTGCAGTTTTCAAGATTTTCCCTAGCCACAACTTGGAACCTTATGTTCCCCAATAAAATGACTGAAATATGAACTTGAGATAACACACAGGCACAGTGCAGAGCTCTGAGCCCTTGGTGCCCTCACTCAGCCTCTTCCTTCCCGTTTCCTCAGGCACCTGTGCAGCGGCGTCACACGCTGTCAGAACGGGCATCGGTGCTTCACGCCTAATCTCCCTTCTGCCCCCCAAAACCCGACTGAATTTGTCACAATGGCTCAAGAGGGAGTGAGGCTCGCTCTCCTCCGCTGGCCCCCTGACAATAGAGGATTGCCCTATTTGTGTGAGAAGGAGAGGGGCTGCCGCCCCAGCCCTCGCATCTGTAAGGGCTGCAGACAAGGCGCACAGATAGGCAGAAATCAATAAGCTGGCGGATCAGAGGGCCCGGCGGAGGAGCCGCTCCTTGCACACGCACAGGGGCCGAACATCTGTCAGGCAAACAAAAAGCAACCCAAGCGGAACAAAAGAGAGGATTATTTTAACTCAAGTTCTTCTTCAGTCTCAGCAGGCAACGTTCAAGCCGTCCTCGTATTCAGACACTGAGGCCTTATGGAGTACGGGCTGTCCGGGAAATGCCAAACGCTGTTACCAGAAGACAAAAGAGGGGGGAAAGAAAAAAAAAAATAGATATGGAAAATTCAGAACGTCTTGTTGAGTGCGGTTGAGCAGGGGGAAGGTGGAGGGGGCACCAATAAGGGGGCAGAGGGCAGGGAGGGGAGGAGGACAGAGTGATGATGCGATGGAGAAATTGATGACAAATCTCCACAGCAGTACTTGAAAACAAAGCTGATCATATCAAATCTGCCAGAGAAGCACAAAATATTGTCACACAGCTATGGATTGACAAGCACTGAGCTGCACCCCCAGCTCCCTCCCTCGTGTGAAGAAAGGGCAGGCTTGCTGCAGCCCTTCTGCTAGCGCAGATGAACCCCAGGGAACTGGCAGAACTGGCCCCACACCTCAGTGCCCTCCTCACCTGGAAGAAGCCTAGCTTTGACCACAAGCCCTTGGCACATTTAAGGGAGCAAAGGATTTAGGATAAGCTCAGAAGCAAGCTGCCATGCCTCTCCCTTGTGCCTGGTGTTAGCCAGTATTCACAGTTATTTTGCACATTGAATTTCTCCAGCACAGCTGTGTCTTCTAATGGGCGTGTCATGTGCTAGACATAGGTGCAAAACATTGAGTTCAAGATAAAACAGATTTAGTAAAATTTGGGCTTCAAATGCCAGAAAACTTTATTGTTTCTGAAACAGAGGAGATAATGTCATAGCTGAGAAAGCCCTGTATTGCATTCACATGCAGTGCCCTTTTGCTGCTGTTGGCTTGGCACATTTTTGAACTGAAGTATTAGTAGGGAAAAAAAAAAACTTTTAGGTTTTGGGTTTCCTTCAGCAGTTTCACACTGTGTAAGCTGCCTTCACTGCTGAGAGCAGAAGCTGTTCTGGATAAAGGTGGACTTGCTCAACTGAAGATTCTGAAGCTGCAGTTCTGTGATCTGGGATGCACCCACCATCAAATACTAGCCCACAGCGTCTCACAAAACTGATATACATCTCAGCCTTAAAAGTGACTTGCCACAGAAACATGGGTTCTTAATGGTATTTTAGGAAGCATCACAAAGGTATTTTGACCCAGCTTTATTTCATTACATTCTGTTTCGGGTGGGGGAGGGATGTGAACTGAAAGAGATTTTGACTTAGAGAAAACTGGCTCCTTTATTAAAAAAAAAAAAAAAAAAAAAAAAAAAAAAAAAAAAAAAAAAAAAAAAAAAAAAAAAAGTAATTATTTGGAAAAAAAAAAACCCCAACCAATATGAAACATAGGCTTAGCTGCTGTCTCATCTTAGAAGGTTCTAAATTACCTTAGCCTTATTTACAGTGCCAGACACAATTGGGCTGGCTGTCTTAACAGACACAACCCTTAAAAAAGAGTAATCCCTGTTTTTTGTTATGCTTGTGAGAGTAAAGGAGAAGGAAGAGCTGCCTTCCTTGTCCCTGAGGAGGGTCTGGGCACAAAGTCCCATCTGGCCACAGGTAACTTCCTGGATCTCTTGAATTCAGCCTCTACACATCAAGGAGGAGCAAGTGAGACTTTTAGCGACTTAAGCCACTTGTGAATTTTGCAGACATGTACCACCTACCTGAGAGGAACCAGAGGCAGCAGAATAGGGGCTCTGTCAGCAGCTGGAGACAGGCACAGCAGCCTGGTGCTGGCATCATGCTCCTTCATCACCAGCAAAGAAGGACATCTGCCACAGGTGCAGCACCTCTCTTTCTCGGAAGCCTTGCTCAGGTGTACTGTGAGCATTTCATAACCCACAGGCAAGCCACTAACCTCAACTGGCCACTGCAGATGCTGCTGATCTGGGTACCTTCACCCCATCTTCCCTGGAGACTCCCCAGCACTCCTGGAGAGGACAAACTGAGGTTCAAGCAGCAACAGTCACACCCTGCATGCTGCACTGCAGGTGTGTGCAGGCAGAGCACATCCAGCCCCTGCTCATGTCCCACACAGATCATGCCCATGCGCCTGGACTATCTGCCCAAACACTGAAAGAGTTCACAAGGCCAGAAAGATCAAACTCTCCTCCTAAAACACAATAATTCAGACACCAGCCCTCGGCATCTCCTTATCCAAGCTTCACTGGTCCTGACCCCTCACCTCTTCTAGAGGGAGTCTCATCCAGCCTCCTCCTGTGAAGAACCCCAAACCCAGAAGCAGAGTCTATTTCTTACTGCTGTTTCTGGCCTACCCAGGTTGTTGTGGACTTTCCTTCATCAGCATTTACTCAACTCAGCTGCAGCCCTTCCTGGATGCCTCACTTCACCTGGGCTGCAGTTCTTATAAGAAATGTTTCCACCTGACCTCTTGGTTGTGTCTCAGGAATTTCGGAGGTCCCCTGTTTTCCTGTTGCAAGCAGTTCTCATGCAGTAGCGAATCAATAGCTTCTTATCTCACTGTTAGAACATTGCTAATATTTGTCCATAGTTGATGTTTTTCTTTAAAGCCAAAGTCCTTGAGTTTCTTTTGCTCTTTTGGGTTATTTTTTGCAGGTCTTGAACCATATGCAAGTCCTTTGTTCAGCCATACAAGCAAATGCTTCTATAGAGCTGGGCTTTAGATAGAGGCTGTTAAAACAGAGGGTTTGATGTTAGGCTGGTAAATAATAAAAAATTAAAACAAAACTGAACATTTAAAGGAGAGAAAACTGCTTAATGTGAGGAACAGTTATGGTAAGGGAACAGTGCAATAAAACAGGGCAGATGTTGCCCTTCAACTTCCATCATAGAAACACACTCCTGATTCTCCTTGTGCACTGGCTTCTCCAAGGATCAAAGGAAAAAACAAGAAAGTAGTAAAACTAATAAAAATAATGGGCATCTTTTTTGTGAAATTCTTCAAATTTGTGCTTGGAAAATATGTTTGTATGATGTGTTTAATTTAGTCATTGTTCATTAGCAATGAAAGAGAAGCTATCTCATCAGTAGGATCTTTTTTTGACAGGGATTAGGCCTGAGTTGGTCTTGCTGTGATTGGATTAAGGTCTTTTTTTACACACAGTCTGGCATGGCTGTTTCCTTAGACAAAGAGGCTTTGGGGTTGTTTTGATGCCTGTGAGGTTGCTCCACAGGCAAAGGAGGTACCTGCAACATACAAACCAGGGACTGGAAACCTAGACAGAAGAAGGCACTGGTCACTTGTGAGTGGAGACTGACAGAGACCTGCTCTGAGACAAACATGAACTGTCAGTGTGATGGGTCCCACTGCCTCTGGAGCCACAGAACACCCTGCAGTCTATCCATGCTCCTTCTCCAAGCATGAGAGACACAGCGCCAGTGTGGGGTAGAACACACATGATGTGTGTTAGAAGGGCTTTGCAGATGAGTTGGTGTCGTCCAATAAACTCCACCTTGGGCACTCCTGCTCTCTAAAAGAGAGAGGGGACTAACCAGCGACTCTCAGACAAGCAGCTGTGACATGTGATCACAATAAATTGATGGTGGCCACAGTTTTGACAGCTAAAATCAAAACAACAGAACAACCAGAGCAAGTTTTTGCCTTGTGGCTGCAATGAATTCCCTGGTGGCCGTACCCAGCCACTATTATTGTCTTTGAGAGTCACTGCCCTAAGAGATGAATTCTTTAACAAGTGAACAAATAATTCAAACAGAAATTGAAATTACATTCCTGAGAGGGGTTCAGCAGCCTCTTCTTCCATTAGCAACAGTGGGAGTTACCATGCCCTGCACATTGCCCAGTGATAGCTCTTCTTCCTTCAGCAGACCTGCTGTAACTGATTGCTTCACAATCCCAGTTTTCCTTTTTTGGGTACCAGTTGCTGAAACGTGTGAATGTGCTGATTTTTGGACAAGTTTCAGCCTAGAAGAAAAATCCTATTACACAAAGCAAAATGGAAATAGCAGGGAATTATATATCAGATTTACGAGGTGATAAGCAAAATTTTGTTGAAAAGTACTTACTGTGTAATCACGTTGTGGACAAGCTTGTTCTTTCAAGAAGAGAGAAAAATAAGTCATTCCAGGATCTAAAACCATTCAAGAAATCAAACTTAGGCAGTTTGAGGATGATAGATTGGTCAATATGAATTCTGTGGGAAGTACAGATATATTAACTTTTCTCCAAGGTAGGAAAGAGAGAGAAAAGTATTTTCATTAAATGTATTCAGTGGATGTGGAAAGTCTCCTGCAAGGAATAAAATGTCCTTTGAGTCTGTGTCGTGGTAGTGTGGTGCTGAAAAACAGAAGGGGTGAAGGAATTGTGAACAGCTGGTGAGTGGCAGTCCTATACCAAAAGAATGAAGTGTGGAGGAGGGGAGAAAGCAATTAAAAAAACCAAAACAACAACAAAAAAGAGCTCAAATCCTAACAACAGTAAAATAAAACCCAAACAGAAAAACAGAACTGAAGTGTTGGGAGTGTACTGTCAAGCACCAGCTTCTCATGGATTGTAAGAGCAACAGAAGCCATTGTCCTCTGTTGGGGAGGGGAACCATAAAAAATAAATTGGGATGGGAACCATAAAAAATAAACTGGGCTGCTGTGTGCTCTCAATCACAATTCTCAACTAAGCCCAGCACAGTTCCAGCTCTTTAATATGCTGGATGCTCCACAGAGGGCGAGTGCACCCCTGCCTAGCTGGGGAGATGATCAGTGGGCATTCACCTTCCTTAAAAACAAACAAACAAACAAAAAATCCCATCAGTTAGAATGTAATTACTTCATCGAGGCTCTCAGGTGAGACATAAATAACTGCAGCACGGCAGGGCGGTGGGGCAGTGGCACAGGCGGCCTGGCGCGTGGCACAGCCTGGGGCCAGCTCAGGGAGAGGTTGGGCTGGGTGCTCGCAGGCGGCTCCGGGCACGCAGCTGGCACACAGCTGGCACGGGCTCAGCTCCGGGGCCCCTGAACTCACACAGCTGGCACAGGCCCTGCCCCGGGGCCCCTGAACCCACAGCTGCACTCCTTCCTGACAAGAGGGAGGCAGAGGTTTGTGCCCAGCCTCGGGCGACGTGTGCTGGCTTTCCTGGCGCACTGTGCCCGTGGATTACACGGATTTGTACTTGCGTGCTTCCACCTGGCACGGCAGAGGTGCGGGCTGTGCCAGGGACTGCTCGTGGCTCGGGCAAGCCCGGCACGTTCCGCGGGATCAGGGCACAGCCCGGCACAGGAGCTGGGCACGTACTGCACAAAGATGCTTAAAAGCTGAGGGGGTTTTTGAGGAAGCGGACACTGAGCGCACAGACTCTGACCGAGCAGCAGCAGCGCTGTGTAAGGCTGGGACAGACACAGACAACAAGGGAAAAGCTTTTCATCGCTTCTTGCAGTAAAAATATGAATGGATTTCACCTGAAACAATGAGACAGCAAGGTCAAAACAAACAGATAATGTTTTCTCTCCCTATATAGTATCAATTATAACACAAAGAAACAAAGCTAGATAAAGATGGTCTGTAAGTGCAATTCAACACAAAGATATGGATGCAACATGAACTCAGAAATCCTTAAATCACAAAACGCCAGGTACCAGGAGGATGCATAGGAAGAATTGTCTCCTTTTTCTAGCCCTGTTCTTACACAGTTCTCCTGACCACTCTTGGAGGCTGGATAGACCTTCACTGAACACAAGTCTTGTTTGATTTTTCATTTCTCCTTTAAAACTTGACATTCTTAGTGATTAAAAAAGAACTTGACTTTGAAATAAATAAATTCACATCACATGTATTCAAAGTCCTGTGTTAACCTTACTGCCACATGTTTTGACATTCACTATTTTTAAACTTTTTAAAAGGCTTCTGCTCAGGGATGGGCTCATCTTTTTCAGGGCATGATTGACAGGGGTCTATTTCAAAATACCTCCCATTAAGGGGAAAAAAAAAGAAAAGAAACCTACCTTAATGGTGAAGCAGGGAATGACAGCAGCAGACAAAAGGTCGTTGCTTCTTTGTTCTTGAAATCTGAGGAAAATACACAGAACTCCATTGTATGACTTTTTCATGCACAACATTGTCTCCCTTGACCCCATGCACATCTGCAGCCTGAAGTCCTCTGTTATCTCTGGATAACAGCTGTTGCATCACTGATTATTCATCAGTTCCACTTTAGCCTGCCTAAGGTGCTGTGAAAAGACCACAAGTTGCTGAGTTTACTAAGTGAATTCAAGATAAAACCTACCCTTGCTGGGGAAAAAAATAGGAATAACAATGGATAACTCTTACTGGACATTTTGTTTGGTCATCTGTAGCACATAGGTCTATATTTTAACACACTGGAATTGAAGGATCTCTTTAGAATTTCACAGAATCCCCTAATTTTCTCACCTAATTCCTTTATACTTTTCATTTGGCTTTGGAGAGCAAAATACAAGGGCAAGGAACACATGCAGTCAGCACTGGAGGAACAAGCAAGCCCTTCAGTTATATGATGTGCAGAAGCAGAACTTGCAGAGCAATTAATTAGTGAGGATTTCCAGTTAAAAGAAGGGGGACAAAGAGGTACGTGCACAACCCAACTCCTTGGAATGCAAACACCCCTTGATCTTTATTTGGGGCAGAGGAAGTAATTTCTCTCCTGTCCTCTCACACTTGCTATGGAGACCACAATTCAGTATGCACCTCCTCCCCAGGTAATTTATCTTCTGGCCTCTTCCATCACCACCTCCCCCAGTCATTTTCCACCCCTGCCACTCCCCAGTTACCAATGCTCATATTCCCACATGGGTGCTAAATCCCATCAGTTTTTCTGTCCGAAGGATAAGGATGGAAGAGGATTTCTTTGATCTCCAAGACTCTTTCATGGGTCATTTGAGAGGTGAGGATAGAAGAAGGTGAGGATTTCCAGTTTATCAGCAAGGCACTGATGACCACCAGATTGCTGGGAATATAATAGTGGATATTCCTGAAAAAAAAAAAAAAGTTGTTTGCAGCCCAACACTAAGTTGTTAATGAGCTCCTGGTGTAAATTCATGGGGTGCAGAGGCTGCCCCTAAGCAGGTGGCTCTGCAGTGACATGCAGCCTCAATTTATTTACTTACAAGTAAGCTGCACAGCTCCTGTCACTGAAATATCTGCATGCTAAATATGTGACTTTAGATTGGTGTTATGGAGTCCACAACGTGCTAGGCATATTACCAGAAATACAAAACCCACCTTGTGGACTGCAAACCAGAGAAAACAGTTTCTGTAGGAGCCCCAGAGGAGACGTGCGCTATATTGTCAGGTGGCCCCTGGTCCTGGTGGCTCCTTTGCCTTGTGGCAAAGCATCAGTAAAGCAGAATGTTTGGAAGTCACCAGGCTTTGACGTCTCCAAACACAAAGGTGCTGCACAGGCGCAAGTGTCACAGGTAGCTGCAGTTTGTCTGTGGGAGTTGTGAGTTCTATGGCTCAGGTACAGGATGCCAACACCTAAGTCTACAGCAATGATACAGAGTGACTGAGCTAAAGGTACATATTCAACCTTTGCTCTAAATTCCCAATTTGATTGCAAAATGACTCTTTTTCATGCTCTCAACTTGTCTTTTGTGTTCTCCAGTTCATCTGCATCATATCCTTTGCAATTATATCACACTCCCTTTGTCCATATGCCAAGAATTTGCCAAGGACTTGCAAAATCCTCATTCCTGATTGTTTACCTGTTTGGTACAGCATTTCTGCCTTTCTTCAGAAAGCAACTCTGCCATAGCCTCCTTCTGTTGGGGAAAATTATGCAAATTGCATAGATTAAATTGCTGTATAATGGTTGATCAGCTTTTCCTTATTGTTTGCCATTTGCTACACAGGATTTGCGTGCATTTAAGAGTTTTATGTGTTTAATAGTTATTTAAGAAGCTTAGCATAGCTAATACCTTCAAGCAGTTCTGCCCCTGCAGGCTGGAGAGAAGTAAAGGCTACCTCTGGCATCGGTGGTTTTGACTGGGGGAGTTTTAAAAATTATTTTTAAATTTTGAGTGGTGAAGATGTTGGGGATAAGATGCAGAGACTGCTGACATTGTTTGGCTTGCTGTTTACCAAGACTCTCTCTCTTTGATAAAAGGAGCTACAAAGCAGACCCAGCTCCCACTGGAGGAACGGGTCCAGCAGGATGCGGGTCTCCAAATTCCATGTTTTCTCTTACAGGCTGTTTCCACTCATGTACATGCAAATGCTTGGATTCACTTTGACACAAGCACAGGCTCCCATTCCGGCTCGAGGCTGGTTGCAAGAGAACACAGAGGCATTTCCTCTCAGTTGCCAGATCCTGTTCTTGTTAACATTTTGCCAAAGCATTAATCATATCCCATGTGCCCCCGAGCAGACTCTCCCCACCAGCTGCCTCATCCCCATTCCTTGATAGACAGACTTCCATCTCTCCCCCACTCCTTACGCATCCCCAGTATTTTCCAAGAGCTGCAGAGCAGGCAGGACAGGAGCAGTGAGGGCTCTGCTGCCATCGAGGTGGCTTTTAGGCCATGGAGCGGAGGCCACTCCAGTGCACTCAGCAAAGCACACAGAATCCAAGCAATACCTACGCCTTTTCTGCAAGCAATTAACTGAAGAAGTCAGGTTTGGTTTTCTTAAACAAATTAGCCTTTTAGTATTGAGATATATACACCGTTGAGAAAACAGAGAGTAAAGTAAATACGTCCTTGAAAAGCAGCCCTTCTCCCACGCAGCCCTGAGAGTGCTGCTCACACATTTGCCCACTGCAAACAGATGGGCCATTTTCTTGTGTCTCTATTAGGTAATAGGCTCAAGCTGTGAACAAATAAAGCCGAAAACACCCAATATGCCAATGTGTTAATTTTGTCTTCCTGTAGGTGTCCCTGTCGATTGCAAAATTGAGGCAGCCCCAACTTTTTCGGTTTTTTTTTTTTTTTTGAGCAAAGACAAGTTATAACCTTTTTCCTTGGCAAAATAAATTCTAAGCATTTTTCACAGTAACACATACATAAAAGCTGTTGAATAAGCCATATGTGAGAAACAACAAAACTAACTCTCACAACTTGATGGTCTGTCTGTAGCTGTGTTATTTATTTAGATAGCTGGACCCTCCATTAAAAAAGTACATCTCTGTACACATTCTTTACCAACCCAAAGTTTTAATGATATGTTCAGAACCACTGTACCCAATGTGCCTATGAGCACACACGGTGTATATAAATATTTGTCACTTGCATGAGGTACATGATGCATTTCACTGGGGCATAGCTCAGGGCAGCATCTGGCTCAGGCTCCACAGATCCTAAAACTAATAACATGTGTGAATTGTTCATCATTACTTTTATGCACAGACTGTTCCCATGCTTGCACTGGAACTGCCAGAAGGTTTCCACAGGGAGCAAAATGGAAGATAAGAACTCCTAAAGAGGTCTAGATATTAACTAAAAGACTCAAAAATTCAGTGTTCTTTTTCCAAGGTACTCAGTCCAGTTCTGCAGTTTTACTTATTTTGCCTAGGGAGTCTTTCTCCTTGCAGAGTCGAATTCTTCAGCCCAAGGAGGGGCAAATTCTCAATGCCACAGGGATTTGTGTACTTCCCAACACAAATTCAACAGTTCTTAATGCACTCAGGCCTGTACCCAAGAGATATAAAGGTGCTTCTCTTTCTTTAAAGCTTAACCTGATTAGAGTCACCCCTTTGACTCTTAATTTACCACTATCAAACTGCCTCTCCTATTGTTATAACCTTTCTGTCTTTCATGAGGGCTCTTTGGAAGCTTTTCACATACTTGTTAAATGCTCTTGGTCACAAAGCCTGCTCAAAGTTCCCTTGATCATGTCATTGCTATGGTGTAAAATTGAATTACTTTTACAATGCGTGCTGTACCCTGGCAAAGCAAAGCCTTTCCCACAGTTAACAGAGGTGGAAGGCCTCAAAAATAAATGAATACGGGAGGACCAAAAGAAGTGAATTTTCAGTAAAAGGGGGAAAATAATTTTTTCTTGAAACGAAGGAAGGCAAGCTCAAACAGCTCTTTAGTGAGTGTCTGCCAGACACATTATATCACTGTTTCAAAAGAGAAATGGACAGCTGGGGAGGGGTTAATAAGAGTGAAAAGTAAAACATTTAAAGTTTGCTTGATTGTTTTTTTGTGATGGTTATAGAAAACATCTTGTCTCCCAAGAAGAATCAAGAACATGAATTGCTTTTTTGTTTCGGAAAATGGCTGAGGGATATTGTAGGGCTGTGCATCACAAAGTTAGTTCTCATCCTTATTTGTGTCTTTTTTATAGAATTGGACATCAAATGAACGAGGTTATCCAAACCAGAAATAAGTATTAAAACTAGGCAAGCATACACTGAGAGCATACTCCCCATACCCCCAGAAGAAACCCTCTCATGCATCCCTTCCTGAAAAATAAGCCAGGCTTTGTTACTTGTATTGTATCACCTAAATGAAGGGTTTTGATGAGCCCTGCTTGTTCCAGGTTTTTGTTACACAGTGCCACAGCAAGGCCAGACTGGCAGCCCCTTGCTCCCTGCTGGAGATGGCAGCCCGTGCCCCCTGGAAGGCAAGGCACAGAGACTCCAAAGGAGAATCCAAGCTTTGGGAGAGCTCTGTGGTGTTGCACTGCCTACAAGGTGTGAAACACCTGCAGCAAAGCACAGGGACACGGCTAACATCTTCCTGGAGTTCAGCACAGTCCTCCAGTGACCCCACTGATCCACCACTTTCCCTGGTGTCAAGAACTCAGGCTAATTTTCCTTTCCCCTCTGTTTTTGGTGCCTGACTGTTCATTGCTGTTACACTGAGAGGCTCAGGGTCCCTTCTGTCACAGCCACAAATGGTTTCCTTCACCTTCGGGTCTTCACCTACTTAGCAGCACATCCAGTCCTCAGGCCAGGGCCGGGATCCCCAGGAGCTCATGGGGGCAGCAGTCATGGCCAAGGCCCTCACTGGAGAGGGTCCAGATGCACCCATTCTTATCTTGGGCAGCTCAGTCTTAGGTGTCCATGAGGTTCATGACA